AAATGGCTGTTATCAAGATTTCACAATCCTTTAAGACAAAGGTCAGCCCAAACAGGATGTTCAAGGCCTTGATCTTAGATTCTCACAATCTCGCCCCTCAACTTATGTTCTCATCAATCAAAAGCATTGAATTTATCCATGGCAAAGGCGAGCCTGGGACCATCAAGCAGCTCAATTTCACCCAAGGTACCCAAAATTAATCACAATTAATTATTATATATAACTATTAGGGGTAATTGCTATTAAGTATCATATCTTTTATATTGTTCAAATTGCAAACTACTATTCAAATTGAGCTAATTAATAATACCTTTTCTTTTGTATCCTATCCTGTTGTAATGTTATTGATCATGCAGATAGTCCCTTTAATTACGCGAAGCACAGAATAGATGCGATCGACGAGCATAACTGTACGTGCAAATACACTTTCATAGAAGGAGATGCATTGATGGACAAACTAGATCAGATTACTTACCAAGTCAAGTTCGAGCCATATGGCTATGGAGGTTGCGTTTGCAGGATAACAAGCGAATATTATACAAAGGATAATGTGGAGATTAAGGAGGAAGATATCGAGCATGGCAAGGATCGAGCCATCGGCATGTATGAAGTCGTCGAGGCTTATCTTTTGGCACACCCTCATGCATATACTTGAAAAAAAAATAATAATAATAATAATAATAATAATCTTTGGAAAATTTTGGGGAATATATTTTTTTGCTTATGAGTTTGGATTGGTTACATTTAAAAACAAAATAAAATAAAATAAATAAAATAAAATAAAAAGAGCATATTGTGTGGTCTAATTAACTTGTAAGAATGTGTATGTATGAATGGTTAATTGTTTACATGTGTGGTCTAATTATTTTGATAAATATTTTTCAATTGGGAGGTCATCCAGCACCAAAACCTTTTTCTTAATTATCACAAAGACGTTGATAGGAATGAAACTTAATTGGTGGTCAGGTATATTTTTTTATCGTAGTTTATCAACGAAATGTTATATTTAAATTATGAATATTTTATTTTAAAATATATGTGTGGAGTGTGAGGATTGATTATAAAAGTACGTGCAATTTGTTCATAATCATGTAACAAACAAGACTATAATTAACATTTTATAAAAACTTCCTATTTTATAATGAAATTCCATCACTTCATTCAATTCATGTAGACATTACATATGCCTTTGGTTTCAAACAACATAATACCAAAATTTATAGTTTTGCTATAGATCCCTTGAATAGAACTGACTTATGACTCCACACTTTTTAACAAATAGTATATTGCAAAACGATGCCGTCTTGATCACACTTCCTCATCTTTTCCTTGGTGCCATTGGACTAGACTATCAAAATCTATTATAAGAATCTTTTTCATTTCTTTTTTGTTTTTTCACTCAAGTCCCCATCAACTTTTACGACCTAAAAATAAATAATGGTCCTGCTTTAAAATCAGATAAACATATCTCTACAAACAAAAAATTCCAAAGGAGTGGATGGATATCCTTTATTAATAAAATAAATAAATTAATTAATTAGTTAATTAAGAAAGAAAGCTACTTTTTAAAATTGGTGACTATGCACCAAATCTTAAAATCATCCACACCGAAAGCATATTCCTTTTGCCCGACTTTGGCATAATTGCATAAACCACCATTAACTTTAGACAAATCACAAAAGAAACGCACAACCCGATGTGTTTCTGTTTTATAAAATTCACATACTGCAGCTCTTACCCAGCAAAGAAATATTTGTAATTTCAAAATATAACTGGACCTTTTATTAAGTAATCAAGCTAAATGTTGAACAGTTTTCGTGAATAACTCTGTGATCATCCAACAAAACTCCCATTGCAAGGGATAATAAACCCACCATTTGACAAAGACTTTAGATAACCAAGAATTTTACATAACATCCACACAAACACACAAAAGAAGAAATTCTTTGCATGTCCCACAATTCATAAACAACTTTTATATATTCCATCTCCATTCTAGAATACATTCCATATATTTGATTCTCCATTCACTCTCCCTCNTATTCTAAGGTCTTCTCCCCCATTGTTCCACAAGCCTCTGATGATGGCTCCTGAAATGGAGGTATGTCTTAAAACACAATTCACAAACATACACAGAGAATAAAGTAGTAAAATCTCATTCATGTTCATAGTTTGGTAAAAGAAAAGCAATATTCTCATCATTTTCTTTTCTCTATTTTCTATTGTCCATTATTATTGTTGTTATTATATGCAGAAGCCTAGAATCACAGAGATAAAGGTCCGGATGGACTGTAATGGGTGCGTTCAGAAGATCAAGAAGGCTCTCAATGGAGTTCCTGGTAAGTATTTCCAAGACTCGAATATGGCATCCCTACTTTTCTTATTCTACAGTACAGTGTGGCAAGATTGGTCTTTCAAAATCTGCTCGTGATAATCACCTTGTTTTTTTCTGGGGAAAAATTTTGGATCGAATTGTCTCGATTTACCAAACCTAAAGCACATCCCTCGAGTTGCATGGGAATGCAAAATTTCGAAGAATTCTCAGAATTTCTCGCTAGAAAGTGGGATATTTTACTTGATTTAATGTAAGTAGTTCTCAATATGATGTTTCAAAGAACCCTAATTTCTGGCTAAAAACAACCTGAAAGATCCTTCTTATTCTTCAGCTGGAAATTTGCTTAAAAACCCAAACTCTGGACCTTGAGGCTTCAAAAAAAGAAACAACTTTGTTCAGACAACCATTGAATTTTTTCGATGAATTCAAGAATAACCGGAGTTTTTTCAAAGTAGGGTGATGATAATTATCATGTGAAGATTCAAAAGGGGACCAATCTTGCCTCACCCACAAATAAATATTTCCATTTACCTAACAGCAGACCTGAGTTTCAGTTTCTTATCTGACAAAACCATGTGCTTATGTACCTCACAAGGCATATCAGATATCTACATCGATTTCCCTAAGCAGAACATCACGATAGTCGGGTGGGCCGACCCCAAACAAATCGTACGAGCCATCAAGAAAACAAGAAAAACCGCAATCATCTGCCTACACACAGAACCACCACCCTCACCAGAACAACAAACCCCTGAGGAACGGGCCCCACAGCCCGAAAACACAAACCAGCCACAAAACAAACCCACGCAAACCGAGCCATCGCCACCGGAGCCACCAAAAGAACAGCAGCAGCAGCAAAAGAAGCCGCCACCGCCGGAAAATCCATCACCACTGCCGGAAAATCCATCACCGCCGCCTTCCGAGCCCGAGCAAGGCCCGAAGCCCGAAACTGCTAATAATGCCACACCAAGCCATTCGGGACAACCACCTTCTCAACCAAAGGATCGCAAAGAAGAAATACACGTAATACACCACCACCCACCTGACTACGGCTATCGATATGACTACGGCACGAATTTCCAACAACAGGGGTATAATAGTCATTGGAATCCTTACCATGGAGGCCCACAATTCAGAGAAGGCCCGTCTCACCTGCCTCAGCCTGTTTATGTGGCCCATAACTATAACACATACCAGCCATCACCCAACATCACTGAATACGCATATAACCATTCACCGCCAAGATACTCACATTATGGTGTGCCAGAAAATTATACGCGTTATAGTGTACCAGAAAGTTATACGCGTTATAGTGTGCCAGATGACTGTGCACGCTATAGTGCACCGGAATATTATGGTCGGGATTATTATTACGATGGTAACAGTGGGAATGGAAATGTGACATCGATGTTCAGTGAGGAAAATCCGAATGCATGCAGTATAGTGTGAGGCGGGAAAGGGGGGGTTTTATGCATGAAAAGAACATGGGAGTTTGATATTTTGTCTCCAAGAGGGATCATTGTTGGGAAGTTGATGGAGAAAATAAACGAACTTTGCAATTTTTGTATCGGTAATAACAAAATGTTACGTTTCATGCAATTTGTTTTCGGACAAAATGGACTCTTATCTTGTGAAGGGCATTCTAGATGTGAACTGTGATAGATAAATTGTGAAACCCTTCTTAAAGATAGTTCATATCACCTTTTCCTTATTTTGCAAATTCAATTACTAAATGGGAAAAGGACAACCTCGTTCTCACACATGATTCGTAGAAGTATATTTAAGATCAATAACGTCATGTCAATTCATAATAGACATTCTCCGGAGAGTTTTTTTTTCTATTCACTCACAGCCTACTCTCATAAGAAGGATCAAATCGTTTGGAAATTCGTAATTTGTCTATCTTTTCTCACAAATAAACATAATGCCCGGTGTATTAATAATATCTGACCCGACGACCTATGTATAAATTCACCTTGCATTATGCAAACTAATAAATCAACTGAAAAAAATAGATTCAATACCACCATCAAAATTTAAAATACATGCCATTTATAGAACTCATTTTTTTTTCTCAGCCTAAAATTGTTGTTCTTGCAGGTAAGATTTCTCTACTGAGAAACAAAATTGTATACAAATTACAAAGAACAAATTAAGGACATAATGTGTTTGTTCTATTAAGCAAGCGCACCTAATCATCACTCTCACTGCCCGTTTGAGAATCTTCATCGAGTCCATAAACGACTTCATCAACCTCTTCGTCTTCACTTCCGTCCTTTTGCTCATCTCCTTCCAGGACAGGTTGTTTGATATTTGAGGCCCTGTTAATCTGCCCACCAAAACAACAATAATAATATATTAACATAAGGAAAGAAAGGGATTGGTGATGATTTGATTTAAAAGGACATTGCTACCCAAAAAAATACCTGAGCTGACACAAGTTGCAGACTACCAGACAACTGGAATAAAGACTTTATGGCTGAACCTCTTGATTTGGCAACCTGAAGAAGTAAAAAATGTAAATCAGATGATATAGTTAGTATATATAATGACGAGACAAATAAGACAATATAAAATTAGTTATCTTATTACAACAAGTAAATACATAAATATATACATTAATAAAAACTTATATTTTTACCTTATACAAGTAGTCGAGGAGTTTGGGTTCCTCAGATTTGATATAATCACCGTGATAAACTAATATGCAACATATCCATGGAAGAACACGCTTGGCACTGTGGGATCTGGCAAAAGAGAAAATTAAACAATTGTGAACATGAAACATAAAATATCACGTGCCTTAACAGAAGTGAATTACAAGGTCGGGAAACTTAAGTGACATGGTTAAAACAGATGTGCATGTGTGTGTGTGTGTGTTAATATTCCAACACCCTTTTTGAACTTTTCTCCGAAACTGAAGATATATTAGACACCATACCTGGACTGCCAAACATTTACCAAGCTCTTTAACTGGGTAAGTGCATCACCAGATTCCATAGACAAGACAGTAGCTTTCAACTATACAACAACAAAAAAAAAAAAAAAAAAANAAAAAAAAAAAAAAAAAATACACAACATTTTACATTGTATACTCAGAATTGGTAATTAAATGGAACTTTATCAGGGGGTGAAGATAAACCTTCTTATGAGGCGTGGAGGAATCAAGATCAATGCCCTTGAAACTTTTAGAATCCATTGTTGAACCAAGTGCATCATCAATATTTCCAAGTATCCCTAAGGATCTTAGACGGTCCTCCATGCAGAGAGTCGACTCATCTAAACCACCTTCATCTACGTCATCCAATATGCACCAGCCACGTGAAAAATGATGAGGAAATAAAAATTATCTATATTTCTTTCTTCTTCATAATTGCATCTGAAAAAATATTCCCCAGGTGGAAAGCAGGTAGGAATAGGAAAATACAGGGGTGAAAGAGTTTTCTTTTCCTTTTTTCTATCAAGACAAAGTAATTGATGCAATTATTATAAAATAATATTAATAAATATAGGAAGAAGCTCGTTTGAGCATACCTTTGCTTCCCACAGTCTTTGCTCCAACATTTCCATCTTTGAGACCAAACATCTTAGGCACAGGAAGTAAAGCCCCCACAGTGCTCGAACTATCTAGAGCAGTAACTGCTGATTTCCAATAGAAGTTGTTACAACAAACGTATATAACTGCACAAGTTAAATATATAGTAGCGCTACACTGACAAACAAATGGTTTGAATCAAAGGATAACAGGTGGACCAGTTTCAGATTTTTTTATTACAGTTAGTATCACCATAGAATCAAATTTACATCATTATGTGTTGATATGGGTCGCAACGCCTTGAACCAGTTTTTATATGCAAGATATAAAACAACAAGAAATATATGAAAGCGAAACAAAAATTCCATTCTTCTAACTTAACATGATGATGCGTACTTACTGCATAATAACCAAAATTCTAAAAGTAAGTAATCTGACTTGCCTTGACTCTGAATGCCTGATTCTTTTTCACTTTTGTGCGACTTACTCACGGGCAAAAAAGCACCATCCTGTGAAACATTTAATTTTACATCTGTCCCAGATTGCACTACAACTTTCTCAAATGAAGGTTTTATGATAAAACCCTGGGCAAGAAAAATGTGACCACTAGCGGCAGTGGAAACATTCTGCAATTTTGCGGCAAATACATTAGGAATAGTCCCTTTGCTTTTCTTTATAACTCCATCATCAAATTGTACAGAGATTTTTGTGGGCTTTGAATCACGAAGCTCGTCAATGGTCTTTCCATGCCAGAAATAGCAAACACCAATTTCTGATAACGCCAGAATAGATAGGCCCGTATTTTCACCATTGGAACACCAGGTATCCAAGAAGACAGCAGGGTGGTCCATTGCAAGAATAAAAGAGGATGATTTTGTTTTCGTGCCATCAATTTTCCACGCTGCAATATATCGTTCGCCCTGAGCAGACGACAGAACATATTTTCCATCTTCTGAGAAAACCATGCATTTTACAGGGACCTGTTAAAACAATAATAGAAAATTAATATGAATGACAAATGAAATATAAACTTAATATAAACAACGGAATCCGAGTAATCAAACTGAGATGAAAAAATGATGTTGGGATCTCACAGGATGACCAGAAAATTTCTGCAGTTTTTTATGGTTTGAGGAATTGAGAATCTTCAATTGACCTGCTGCAGTTGCTACCATTTTGCCGTCTGATTTGAAGCAAGTCACAAAGGTGTAAGTAGGGGGAAAAACTATTTCAACTAAAACTTCAACATGGAACTTTGTGTAAAACTCCGAGAAAGATGACGTAAGATGATTTACAGGCCTTCCAATATAACATATTATTCAATTGTTTGTGCTAGTATCAGACAAAAAATAAGTCCCTACACTCCACTAATTTCACAGTAATCAATACCATGTTACTTGAAGATCATAAATGGATATTACAATTTTCATTATTTAAGGGCTGAAATGCGCCTTTTACTTTCAATGCTAGTTTATCAATTATTAACTTCCATGGTCAATTTCTTAAGACCCTGAGCATTCATTGCATGTATCACATCCTCCATTAAGCAAAAACATTACCAAGCAAACAAGAACATTTTGTTGACAAGAATAATATTACTAAGTTGAAAAATGTACAATAGCCAAAAGGAAAAGAAAAAGAAAAGAAACTATAGAAAAATACCTGGGGAAATAGCTAGAGAAGATATTGCACTTGAAGTAGAGCTAAACTTGTTTAATAAGTTTCCAGACATTGACTCAAGTTCACAAACCATTCCATCAGCACCAGCAGTATAAACACGTGAGGCGGATGAAGGTGCAGAAACAGCACTGACTCCCCTACACATTGTCATGCAGCATAGCAAATGTATAACTAGATTAGCAATTCACGATCATTCAGTATTCACAAAAACACATATTCGTCCAAAATCCACCACAAATTTGAAGATGATTACATTAGAAAGTTCAGCAAATAGGTCTACTATATTTTTCCATGATGATAATTCCAAGTAATGGAACACCACAGTTCCCATCTGCTATAGACCAAGCCATCTTATACTTCCAGGATACAGAATACACTGAAACTATCCATGAGGTTTAGACAAGCCACAAAAGTCACCAGCTAATCCTTAAGAATTACTTAAACCCCCTTCAGGTTTTACGAAAACCCTCTTGTCGTTTACATGTTGCTAAACAAGTGACCTTTGAGGGTAAAGTTTGTCTAGTAGACACCAGTAAAATCCCAAGTTGTTATTCAGTTAGTCTAAAAATAGCTTGCCTTTACCTATGGATATTTCCATAAATCAGACAGAACCAACCTCAAGGGTATCATTTTATCATTGAAAGTAGAAGATTTACAGAAATTTATCAGACTCAAAAGAGAAACATTTTCAAGTGACAAAACTCACCCTGGGTGACAATTGTTAACCCTCCACTTCAATTGACCAGCAGAGACATCCAATGCAAGAACATCACCGCCACCAGTTCCCAGCACCAAAAGGGAGCATCCAAGTTTTCTTTTTTTCTAAAATCATTTGGCACAATAAAAGGAACTTTCAGAAACTAACTCCATTGATTGGCAATGAGAAAATTGCAACTCAACTAAATACATACATGACTCGGCACAAAAATGTCAAACCTTTTTATCCAGAGGTAGCCACTTCATACATGTGTAGTCTATTGAAAGGTGCCCTTCTTCTTTTTTCCCGAATATACTTGTCTCGTTTGAAGCAATATCTGCAAACTCGGTCTGGACTTGACCCTTTACCGTGTCCCATATCTGAAAATCCGCAAATATATTTACGAATTATTAAAACTATTGAACACCATCACAGTCCCACTATCTAATTCTCATGTACCTCCATGCCTCTTTTTCTTTCTCTACCCACAAATACATTACTGGGGCTACTAAACATAAATGCTGATATAAGAATCTAAGGTGAAGTCCAGGGTCGTGAACCAAGCCTATTATCTTAGAAAAATTGAAGATTTTCTATCACTAAAGCACAAATATTATGACATGAGCTCATGAAACTTCAGACGAAAGAAGACTACAACGCATTCTAGTCTAATTCAGAATCATACATCAAGAACAGAAGACAAATTACAAAAAGTAAGACGCTACCAACAGCAATAATTACGCAATATTTGTGGTCTTTTTAAGCTTTCAAAAATATGCTGAGGAGAATAAAGAAGGTACCTTTATTCGGCCATCGACAGTACTAATAGCAAACAAGTCTAAGTTCGGACTAAACGAAGTGAGGATGTCCTTAATAAGTGATGACCTCATTTTCTTCTCTTGGAAACTCGGACCAGAAAAGATTAGAATCAGGGGGAAACAAAATTGTGCAGATTCTAAAGTGTATGCGAGGTTTCTTTCTTTCTCTGGGTATGTTCAGTTCAAACGCCGCGAGTGTGGAAGGAAGGCCTTGTGGAGCGCCACCGGAGGTTTTGGTGGAGGTGGCGGCGCGAAAGCTGTAAATTTTGTGCTTGTTGAGAGGTGTGGTGGATAAGCAATTTTGAAACCCACATAAAATGGGCTGATCAAATAATATAGAGCCCAAATAATGGGAAAGCGAAATATAATGGGCCTTAAACAATCCTAACTAAAAGGGCAAAATTTCTTGAGATAATTACACACCATACAACATCATTCCATCTTATTTTAATTACAACATCATTCCATCTTATTTTAATTTAGGCGAGCCTTCTCCTTTTATTTGCAAATGTACTGACATCTTTTTCACTTTTCTTCATTCTCTTTCTTTTTTCCTTCACCTTATTCTTTTCAGTTCGTTTTCTCCTGCAAACACTCAACGCAAAGAACAAAAAGCCCTAATTCAATTCACAGCGACGAAAGTTTTTCTCATCGGGTCCCCTTTTCCGTTTTCTCTTGCAAACACTTATTTTAATTCCTCATTGGGTTTCCTTCCCCGTTTTCTCTATTTTTTTGCAGAAGTTTTTCTTTTATCGGATTCTATCGATTTCACAGCGATGGAACCTTCGATCGGTAGGATCCACGGAGTCGTGCGCTTATTCTGATCCTTCCATACTGAGCGGAGGCTGATTCACCATTACAGTGAGCTCAGATCTATTCCCAAATCGGGCGACCCGATCACTATTCAATGGTCCATCACTGACTCCCCGTCGAAGCTTGATTGGCTCGACATTTGATCTCCTGCGAATAAAAGATGTTATCTTTTTTGTTTTTATTCAATTGATGAGGGTGACGCCGGAGGGGCTGGCGGTTCCGGGTTCAATGCTGCTGCCGAACAAGCACTACCGGCGGTTTCAGTTTTTTGATAATTTTTTTTCATTTGATTTATCATGTTGTGGGATATGTTGGTTTATATATAGTATATTTTTCAATATATGTTCTATAACCACAATCAGTAGTATATGTTGCGTGTATAGACAATATATGGTCAGTATATGTTTTCGTTGCTCATGCTTCGGGTGTTTCTCATCTGGCCCGTGCTTTATTTGTTTATCATATACACTAAATATACTAAAATAATTTATTAAAATAATAATTATGATAGGTTTATGATATGATATGTATATATAGGTTATATACTAAACAAAAATTCAAATATCACAATTGTGTTAGATAAAATTGTTATGTAAATAAAAAATCAGATTATATACTGAATATAAACGCAATATATACTGCCTACTCAAACAATATAAGAGCTGAAAACCCACGATATGCTGTTACACTTTATTTGGTAACTGAAAATACTATAATTTGGGGGATTGGTTACACTTAATTTGGTAATTGCAAATATTTTTTAATCCATTTGCGTGATTGTAGGAAGAGAGCAACAAATAAAAGCACTACAATCAGTCTCCATGCAATTAAAATCTCACACCTCGTATTTTCACAATATTTGATTAATTAAAATTGTTTTTTTTTTCCATAAAAGAAACCGCCCGCATAAAATTCCACATGCTGGATTAGTATTTAATTCAAATAAACCGGCAAAAAGAAAAGGGAATCTTTTTTTTTTTAAAATGTAACTGCTATTTGATTAAAAATCAATAAAATGAAGTTTAAAAACATATGGGGACAACTAAAAATTAAAAATTCCAATTGTTTCTACGCACTAATTAAGTCGAAAGAACAAGTCGTGTGACATCTAGCTCACTAATTTACCAGCTTAGCTCGAGCATGCATCTTATAACAATGTTGATTAAGTTGTCATAATCTGTTGGAACACAACTATTTTTGTACTGTAATCTATTCATATGAAACTCTCTGGCTCCTTCTCTTTCACAGGCATCTGTACTGTACATATATTTTAATGTACAGTCGTTAATCAACTTCTATTGATTAATAATAAGGTTTCAACTCGTGTAGACATTTTTGGAATTGGCGCATAATCTTCAAAATAAAAATATCTAATAAAATAAAAAAGAAAAAAGCACGTATTATGAATTCCCCAGTTCCCACCACTCCCAATAACTCCCTCCACCACCTGTTGATGAATTATTTTTATATGATCAAATCGTTATGTTTGAATACAAATCTTTTTAAAAAAATCTAAACAGTTTTAATTCAATAATTTTTTTCTAACTCAATCTTAACTCACTCTCACTATCATCAATATTATCAATATAATTAAATAATATCAACTAATCATTCTTACATATCACATCAACTTAAATTCAATATCCATTCACTCACATAATTTTAACTAACCATCATTTCAAATCATCACTCTCTTATTTTTACGTTAAATTAATTTTTAATATTTTATTTCAAATATTTTTTTAATATACTTATTAACAACTAACCATATCATTTTTTTTTTTAAAATTGACCAAACTAAACCGAAAAATCAAATCAAATCATAAGAAATTTATATCCAAGCATCCCCACCATTTATATGAAATCAAATCAAATCATAAGAAATTTATATCCAAGCATCCCCACCATTTATATGAGTTTTTCCGTAGATTGGATATTTTGTCTATTTGACTCACTCAGTTTTATTTTTGTCTTGCCTTTTTATTAGATATATTTTATATTTTATTTTATTTTATTAATTAGATAAAATCATTAAAATTTCCTTATCATTTTTATTTTTGTTTCATTTACAAACTATTGTATCGAATTTTGTCTAGCCAATCTTAGTAGATACGACCTTATTTATCACTATTATAATTTTTTATTTTTGTGAACAAAATTTTATTTTCGTTGGTCTCGACATTATCACTTTGCACTATAATAATCAAGGCAAATGGGATTTTGATGGATCTCCATATCTAAAAGCAAGCACAAACTGAAATTAAACCTTTATTTAATACAATCACCAACCTTTGCAAAGGCTAAATCCGTAAATGCAGCATCTTTTAAGCTTTTACTTTCTGGTTAACCCCTTTTCAACTCTCCTTCCTTCTATCCGAACTAATTTATTGATGGAACGCACAAATCAATCACTAACAGATTTTAGTATCATTGGAATTTCCGCATCTCAGTTATACCTTTCTTCGATTACACATTTGCATAAATGAACAGCTATTGGTGATTTTTTTTTTTAATTATTGTGATTTGTTGAATATCGCGGAGTTATAAGCCGATGGCAGCTACGACAGTGGCTACGGCGGCGGGGGCGGTGGTTCTGCTGTACTACGTCGTGAGCCGGCGGATATCATCGGCGGCGGCGGCGGACGGAGAGGATTCCAGCGGCGGCGATTTGTCCGAGTCCAAGAGTCGATCGGCCAAGAAGCGGCTGTCGCGGCGGCCGGCTCAGGCGCCTGCTACCTGGCTGGAGACGATCTCCACGCTGTCAGAGACTCTGAGGTTTACGTATTCGGAGACGTTGGGGAAATGGCCGATCGGCGATTTAGCCTTCGGAATTAATTATCTCATACGGAGGCAGGTTAGGTTTCCATTCCCCCTCTTAGTCTCTAATTTGTCCTCTGCGTCGTTCGCTAGTGCACTTATTATGAATTGGTGCACTTGTATGAATTGTTTTATCCCAAATTTGCAAGAATTGGATGATATGCGGTCGATTAGTCATGTGTTCATCTTGGCAACTGAATTTAGTCACTACAGCTTTCGCCTTTCTAGGGAAAAAGTCAGTAACTTTGTCTCAGTTCCTTTCGTTTGCTGGCGTATGTAATTTGGAGAGATTGTGATTCTTTGTGTCGTTGATTGCTGTTCAGAAATTGCAACATTGTCTTAAGATGCAGTTCTCTTAGATCTTTTTTTTTTTCTTCAACAAAGTTGGACTCATTTGCTCCATTGCTGGTTGTAGGAGTGATAAGTGTGCTGTAGATTACAGGCCCAAAATACAGTGCAAGGACCTGTGCTCTTATTTAATTGATATAAATGTATAATCTTGCAGGGTAACCTACAAGTTGCAAGTGTATATGTAGATGAAAACTCTGTGCAGCTGAAGGGCCCTGAAGTCATCGGTCAATTGTATTACTACTTAAGACTGCTGACCCTCTGCATGCTTTTCTCCAAAAAGCCCTTCCCCATATTCTTGGAATCTGCCGGGCTATCTGAGGCGCACGTCCTTCTTCAGAAGCCCAAAGCCGGTATTCTGAAGCCTGCGTTTACAATTTTAAGTGATGAGGCCTCAAAGTGCTTCCTCCTCTTGATTCGTGGCACGCACAGCATCAAGGACACTCTAACAGCAGCAACTGGGGCTGTGGTCCCCTTTCACCACTCGGTTCTGGATGATGGTGGGATTAGCAATCTTGTATTGGGCTACGCTCACTGTGGGATGGTTGCTGCTGCTCGGTGGATAGCCAAGCTGAGTACTCCGTCTTTGCTTAAGGCTATGGAGCAAAATCCTGATTATGAGGTGAAGGTAGGTATTATCTCTCTCTCTCTCTCTCTCTCTCTCTGTGTATGTGTGTGTGTGTGGGCGTGTGTGAGCCTGTCTGTGTCAATTTTGTATGATATTCAATTGTTAATGAAATTAACATAAAGAGAGTTAATTGAGTTTCATTCTTGGCTTCAATCAACAGTTGATCGCAAAGCTGGCATTTTTTATGTATATGACATGTAGATTTTGGCATTCCATTTTCCGTCTTTACTGCGTATCTAGTTTAAATTATCTTTTTAGTTTTAGAACGTCTCTAGTCAATTCCTGTGCTAACTGTTTAGAGAGCATAGCTTTTACGTCAATTTCAGATGATAACTTTAAAACTTTTATTTAGTGTCATAATTTGCTTCTTCAGTTGGTTTCATCCACCTTGTTTCTTCTGGAAGTTCATATACAGCGCTCACAAGCAATTTGCATATTCATGTTTGTAAATGAAGTCTCTATTTGAATTCAGATTGTAGGCCACTCACTTGGTGGTGGTACAGCTGCATTGCTAACATACATTCTCCGGGAACAAAAGGAGTTTTCAGCAGCAACATGCGTTACTTTTGCACCAGGCATGTTCTGATTTCTATATTTTGTTCTTTCTTTTATGAAGAACTCTTTATTTTTAAAATTTTAATATTCTTATTTTGAAATGGGGTCTTACAGCTGCCTGCATGACATGGGAACTGGCGGAATCAGGGAAGCACTTCATAACCACAATAGTCAATGGCTCTGACTTAGTTCCCACTTTTTCAGCTGCTTCTGTTGATGATCTTCGGTCAGAGGTATCCGATCCTCATAAAAGGAAAAAGAAAGAATTAAATATAATAAAAAGGAAAATGAACATATTTCTTTTCCTTATAATCTAAAACTCGGAATTCATCCTTATTATTAAGGTAACAGCATCATCCTGGTTGAATGATCTCCGTGACCAAGTTGAGCGCAACAGAGTATTGAATGTCATATATCGATCGGCCACCGCTCTTGGGTCTCGTTTGCCGTCAATTTCGAATGCGAAGGCAAGGGTTGTTGGAGCTGGTGCATTATTAAGACCAGTCTCCAGCAGCACCCAGGTAACTATGTTTCAAAAATTTGTGCCCTTTGCCTCTTCATGCAATAGTTTGTGTCTGGGACTGACTTTTGTAGGATTTGGTTACTCACAGAAGCTACTACCTCTGATGTTTAAGCCTAAATATTAAAAAGAGAACACTCATCTTATCTTATAAATAGAAATAACCCTCTGAGGTCTTGTATTTACCTTACAAATAGCCCCATCTTATATGCAAGTATGGAACACAAGACTAGATATTTCCGGGGGTTATTAATTTTCAGAGATAACAGGGCCATTTTGTAATTATTCAGACTCCAGTGTTGTTTCTGTTATTAATCCATTTATTTATTTACGACTTGTACCAAAAAGCATCCTTCAGACTTAGTTTTTAATTACACAATCAAGTCCTCTCTCAGAATTTTGAATACACCCTTGATAATAGCTTCTATTTTGCTAACACTTAAAAGTGGGGTGTCCGTAATAACTTGAGAGGATATTCTTACTTTTTTGCTAGATAATTTGTCTTCTTTTATGAAAGGAGATCAGACCTCAATGGTCGTTTTGGCTTAGATTTAATCCTTTATTTTTATCATTTAAGTGACAGAATCTTTGTTAAGATTAGATATCCAGCTGAAATGTTTACACCATATAGTTTTTACTCATCTCTCTCTCAACAAAGTTTGACATCTGCACACATTGCAATACACAGGTTGTGATGAAACGTGCACAAGACGTAGCACTTGCAGTTGTAAAGACCCGATCTTCCATATCCTCATGGACATGCATGGGCCCCAGGCGTCGGCCCATCACTCCTAGGTCAAATCCGGAGAAAATAAACGACCTACCCAACTCCCCTCTTATAATTTCGACAACAACAGAATCTCTCACAACTGAAGAAGTTGTAACGAGCACAAATCCCGAATCAATAAAGTCCGAATATTGTTCTTCTTCTAGCGCAAGTGACGACGAAGAGGACAATCATCTAATGCAGGTCGAGAAAGTTGTCACCACATCTACCACTATCGAGGAATTTACCGAAGGGCAATTATGGTATGAACTGGAAAAGGAGCTCCAAAGGCGGGAAAACGAGCTCGACGAGGAAATTCAAGAAGAGGAAGAAGCCGCGGCTAACGAAATAATGGAGGAGGAAAAAGTGTTTGCAGATGCAGTCGAGAGCCACTCGCCAATTTCCTATACGGATGATAATCAGAAATTTTACCCTCCGGGCCATATAATGCATATTATATGTGTATCTAATGAGGAGAGAGTCGGGATTTACGAGACGCATAGAGAGTTGTACAGCAAGCTTCGGCTGTCGAGGACGATGATCAACGATCATTACATGCCAATGTACAAGAAGATGATGGAGCTGTTGATTAAGCAGCTGGAGGAGGAGTTGGATTCTGGTCGTGTAGTTACGTGATGGAGAGTGTAAGTGTGTTATGTGGTGGTAAAAAGTGTGGATTTTGGTTTGATGTATTAATTTTTTTATATTAACGATATATATTTTGAGGCCTTTTATGGAGTGGTGTGTAGAATGTGGATTAGTGATGCTGTGGCTGTTGATGAATTGGGTGCGATTCTTTACGAACTGGTTAGTTAAAGTAGAAATATACATATGCTGAAACGATATC